TCCCCCCCCCCCCCCCCCCCCCGTGTCCTACAGCAAATCCTCGCCCCCTTCACAGATTTTCACTACAGGCACAACGCAGACACAGCTGAAGGACAACTCAAGTAAGAGTGTGTGTCTGTCTGTCGCTCTCTCTGTCTGCCTGTGTTTCTCTCTCTCTCTTCCCTCCCTCTCTCTGTCTGTCTGTCTGTCTCTCTCTCTGTCTTTCTGTCTGTCTCTGTCTTTCTTTCTGTCTGTTTCTCTCTCTCTCTGTCTTCGTCTCTCTCTCTCTCTCTCTCTCTCTCTCTCTCTCTCTGTTGTCCCATAACACTAACACCAACATGATTGTTGAGGGTCCGTACGGTGTGTTTGCGACGTGACCCTTGTTATCTGGGCTGTCGTGACCCCACCGTGACCTTTTTGCGATGTTGAGAGTCAGACAGAGTTAGACTGTCTCCTCAGATGGTGCTAACCACAGACCTGTGAGAAGTTCCTCCTCTGTGAGGTGCTAATGATGACACACCTGTGTTGTCAGGGAGGACAAAGAGGCCCGGTTCTTGTCCAGCAGAATGGCCATAGTGGCAGCTTTTCGCTCCTGGTCTGGTAAGAACTGAAGCTAACAGCTAACAACACAACAGTTCCACTGCTAACACTGATCTGATGTGCAATCATGTCGTTACCACCTCTGCGATACTTACTTCATACTTAAGTAATAGTATGTGCAGTGTTTTTGGTCTGTTAAAACCTCAAGTGGTTTGTATTAATTTGACTTTATATTTCAAATATATGTTTATATATTTATTGTATTGTACAGTATTTTATTTATAGTACCTTTTTCTCAGAGTGTGACCAAATTCTCTCTTTTATATATATATATATATTCAGGCATCATCAACCTATGCAAGGCTGGAAATTCTGGCATCCAATCGTTAATTGGTTTACTTTGCATACCAAATATGGAAGTGAGGGTGAGTATGACAGGCCTAATGAAGGCTTAATGGGCTTCAGTGCTTTTGTTCTGGGATTATTATTAGTAATGATGTGTATTGTAAAAAAATATATAAAAAATATACATGTACATATATGTGTGTTTGAATATATGTATATATTCACATATATACATACGTGTTGTGTGTGTGTGTACACATGGATTTCAGTGCTTTTATACTGGATTTACTTTTATCAATTATGTGTATTATATAAAAATATATATTTATATATAAATATATATAAAATATATATGTACAATACATATTCACATATATGTGTTCACAATATCTATATGTGTATATATAAATTGTATATATGTGCAATACATATTCACATATGTGTTCACAATATGTATATGTGTGTATATATAAATAAATATGTATATATGTATATACATATAGCTGTATATATATGCATATATGTATATACACATCTGTATATATCACGATATGTGTAAGAATATATATATAAATATACACATATATGTATATATGTGTATATATATGTGTGTATATATATATACACGCATATATGTATATATATATATGTATCCATATATATATGTCCCAACTAACTGCTCTAATGGTGTGTTTCTGCAGAAAGGCCTGTTGGAGGTGCTGTATGAGATTTTCAGGCTGCCCGTGCCCATCGTAACACAAGACTTCATCGAAGCTCTTCTAAGTGTGGGTGAGTGGGAGTGAGTGGAACCGATTTTTTTTTTTTTTTTTTTTGAATCAGTTTTTCATGCTCCAATTAGTAATTGAACCCACAACCCTTTGGTTGTAGAAGAACAAAAACGGCTGGTGTTGAGAGTAATACTTGAGAATATAACTTTGGTTTGTTATCTTATAAATATCTGTCAGTACAGTAGGGGGCGGTATGGGCCCATTAAACACACACTGATGCTCTTTTTCTTCAACTCCAGACCCTTCCAGGTTCCAGGACTCGTGGAGACTCTCTGACGGATTCGTTGCTGCTGAGGCCAAAGTCATTTTACCTCACCGGGCACGCTCCAGGTACTAAGAAGAAAGTGAAGGTTGAACTGTATTGGGGGAGGAACAGGGGAGTGCCGGCGCGGGGGGGTACTCATTAATAACCCAGCGTTCAACATTTTTATTGTTTTTACAGTGTTAACTAATTAAGTCAAAAAAAACGGTCAAAGTTCATATTCTACCATGATATAGTTACCGGCACATCAATATCGTCAAGTCAATTTAATGAAATATAATAGTAAAAAATAGTAATATAATAGTAAATAATCTTCTAGTTTAACTATACTAAAAATCGACTCCCATTTAGTTGAAGACGACGCTGATATAGTGGCAGGAATTGAAGAAAGACAATCTGCTGCCACCTAGCGGAAGAGGATTGACTTGTTCTGCCTGTCACGCATTGACGAACAGAGAAAAGAAAAATTGCAATAAATTGAATTTGGATAATTTTCCGCGGCACAGCTAATGATTTCTCACGGCTCGAAGGTTGGGAATCACTGCGCTACGTAACGTTCAGCCGACGGACAGACTTTTTTTTAAATTCAAGGATTTCCAACCCCCGGCTCACGGCCCACGCACCGGTCCGTAGATAATTTGGTACCAGGGTCGCAGTGGAACCCAGTGAATTTTTTTTTTTTTCCAACCGCTGTTTTACGTTAGTGGCACTTTGGCCCAGAGGCAATGTCTCTGTCATTGGTGTGGAACCCCAGGGTTCACCTCCTGGGCAAGTTCGAATCCCGGTTAGGGCAGTTGGTACCTTCCAGTGGACTCACCACCCGCAGGAAGGTTTGGTACGGTGCAATGTGATTTGGGTGGCGACTGCTGCCCCCACGACCCGGTAACGGATAAGCGGATGAAAATGGATGGATGGATGGATGGATGTTTTACGTTATTATTCATCTCTGTCATTAGACCTGATCTGATGGACAACTACCTGGGGTTTGTGCTGTCGTCCTTCATCAACAGCGGTCTGTTGGAGGTGAGTCCACGAGGGTTCAGTCAGTAATAGCTAGCTCTGCGGTGACAGAACTGAGTCAGTGGTCTCTCTCGCGCTCTTTCGCTCTTTCTCTTTCTTTTCTGTGGTCGTTGTAGGGACTCGTTGAAGTGGTGACCAGTAGTGACGACCAACTCGCTGTGAGAGCCACCATCCTGCTGGGGGAGCTTCTCCATATGGTAACAAAAAAAATATATATATATGGATCTGAACTCTAATGTTCGCCATTTATTATGAGTGACTGTGATTTAAAAAATTTTTTTTTTCTTTAGGCCAACACCATCCTCCCCCACTCCCACAGTCACCACCTGCACTGCCTTCCCACCCTCATGAACTTGGCCGCGTCTTTTGACATCCCCCAGGAGAAACGACTGTGAGTAGTTTCACCCGCGTCAGCGTGCCTAACCCTAAACCACTATTATTTTTAAATTAATTAATTTTTTTTTTTACAAAAACAATTTTTTTGATTAATTAAAAAAGTATATACACTGGAGATCAAAATTAGAGAACAACTCATAAAAAATGGAATAATTCTGAAATAATACCATCTTCACTGTTCCACAGTTAAATGACATTTTATTGTGTCTATATCATTGTACGACAACACTAATGAAGATTAATTAATTAATTACATTTTTTAAATAAGGAAAATTCTTTCTCATTTTGATTAATTAAAAATGTAAAAAGTCATTTTTAACCTTTAAATCCAAAATAAAATTAAATGAGGTTTAATTAATTAAATACATTTTTTATAAAGACATTTTTTTCTTATTTTGATTAATTAAAAAGAAATTAAAAAGTCATTTTTAACCTTCAAATCAAAACTAAAATTAAACATAGTTCAAGAAATTAATTATTTTTTTTATTTTTTAAGAGAAATTCTTATTTTCTATCATTTTGATTGATGCAAATAAATTAAAAAATATCCCTCAGTTTAAAAAAAAAAAATTAATGTTGTTGTTACTAATAACCCCCCAAAAAAAGTATTTTTTTTTTTTTGTTTCAGCCGTGCTAGCGCAGCTGTCAACAATCTGAAGCGCTTCCACGAGAAGAAGAAGAAAGGTCTGAAACCACACAGTCTCTATCTAGACCACA